AACAGGGTGGTTGGCCTTTGGAATGGGTTGCTTTCAGATGTTATGGAGGCAGTAAATTTAAGTAAGTTTAGAAGATGAAACAGCCGAGATGGACCAATAGGTCCCATGTGGTCCAAAAATGTTATGTTATATATCATAATTGTAATGGAAGAATTTTACAGATATTTATTAGCATAGTTTGTCACTTCCTTGAGTTCTGCTGTTGAAAAGTAAAATTTTTTGTGATAATCGAAGTCAACAAAAAGGGTGATTTTGACATGCTTTTGTCCAAGGTATATACCATGATGAATCTGTACTAGGACTTACTTTTGGAAATCATCTTGCAGATTTGCTAAACGCATCTTGCAATGCTGGCTCTCTCTCCATACCTCCCTGAGCCATGTTTCTATATCCAACCGATGCATTTTCTCTTTTTGGATTTCCTTTTTCAGTTGTGCTTTCTGTGAAAAATTCATTGAATTATGAAACCATCTGGGTGGAGCATTCTTAAATATTACACAAAAATATAATTAAAAATGTTCTAAAGTAGTTTCAATGTGTTAATTGATAGGTCATTATTAATTTACCAAAAGCTTAAGTGAAAACTACTCAATGAAAAGGATGAGTGTGAGAGAGAGTTTTTTTTTAGCAAAGCCACATCGAGCTACCTGCTGTGTCCACTGAGGGGAATTGAACCCATAATTTTAGCATTGCAAATCCATAGGCTTACTGATGCCCCATCGGGGAGACAATGAAGAGAAACAAAGCAATTTTACACTGATGTTTTATAAATCACCTGTAAAATAATATTTAAAACAAAATGTTCTTCCCATTCATGCAAGCTTTTGCCTGTATATACTTTTCTTTAAAAAAAGGTAAACAAAATTATTATACCCAAATCCCACAAAAAAACAAGATTTTGTATAGGTAACTTAAAACATCATTTTCTACAGTAAACAATATCTCTGTACATTTATGTCTTTTTTTATTAATACTATTTCAATGGTTATAGGTGAAACTAGGTCTTACAAGTTGCTTCTTGGTTTTATTTCATAATAATTGTTTTATTATAATTCCACAAATCCTTCTTGAAAACTTAGGGTTATGTACCTCACTTTCAAAAAATATTTTTATAACAACACTTTTATTAAAATTTATATAAATCTTTTTTTAATCTTAACATGATCTTTAAGCCTGACGACAACCATAAATGGCATTCAAAACTTCCCTATAATGATGTGAATATTAGTCTCACACATTAAAGTGTACAAACAATATATTACAGAGGTTTTTTTTAGTGTTGACTAGTGTGTTTTAGACATATTATAACTAGATTATATAGAATAATATTAAAAACAGCCACAATACTCTCAAAATGATTTATTTAATCAAAATAAGCATTTCTCCATTATGATTTCATCACGGATCTTACAGTTACAGAACAGATCGATACGATAAACGTTCCATTTTACATAAAAAAATTATATCTTCCTAACTTTGCTGATACTAAAGAACAGTGTATTATTTACAATGTAGTTTACGCATTCAAATGTTGATTTTGTTCTGAAATTTATATTAGTGAAACAGGGAGAGGAATACATACTGAGCTGCTGATTCATGTCAACACATTTACGATAAACACTTTTCTCTCAATCAATACTTATCTTCCATATGGGGGGTAGTATGTACCAAACTCCTCTTATGTAGAACAGTAGTACTATTAAAACTGTCTTTTTTTACACAAGTACTTGATGTTTAACATAAAAATATTTGCAAAATGAGATGATAATAAAAAAGACAGTAAAAGTGGTTCCTTTTGGCCAGTTGTCTTCCTATAGTGGGTGGTTCAGAAATAGGGATGGTGCAATGCCACCTGGTACTTCCTGCATGGGGGATAATTCCTCTAGTGTGTAAATCGATAAAAATAAATAATGAAACATGAGGTGAAATATATATATATATTAAATAGCTAAATCAATTTTAAACAACTGCCACTGAATGAAAGAGCCTCGAGGACAGTGACATGTGTGATTAAATAAAATAAAAAACTGAAAAGATGCATTCATGTACCTGTGACTTGAAAATAAGAAATGATGAGGAATTTTATAATATATATATATATATATACAGCCTAATGGAATTATTTAGTAAGATTGTTTGTTTGTTTGAAGTTAAGCACAAAGCTAAACAATAGGCTATCTGTACACTGCCCACCACGGGTATCGAAACCCGGTTTCTAGCCTTGTGAGTCCAAGGACATACCGCTGTGCCACTGGGGGGGCATTTAGTAACAACAGGGGTCTATTTGTTTCCAATTCTTCATAAGCTTTTGGCATTGAAACCATAACTTTTATCTAAAAAAATTTTTTAAACTGTGTGTAAAAATAACAATTATGCATATATACATATATATATATATACACATGCACACACCTGTAGGCCTATATTATAAATCACTAAACTAGGATGGTAAAATATACACAACTTTCAGCCATTGCTATTTTATGGTGGTGAAAATTTGGTTCAAAGCTGTGTGATAATTCGAAGTAAATAAGATATGGCATGTAATTTTGCTTTAGGTTGTTATAGTCTAATTGGTTTAACAAAGCCTACCATGATGATGAACAGAGCTCCATCTTCTGCAAGCTTATCTCATAATGGCATACCGTGAATAAATACTAATTCCACCATCTGTAGGATTATATCATAATGGCCTACCATGACTACATGCCGAATTCCACCAATCTATACGCATATCTCATAAACCACTAAATTCTTAAAATAATGTGCAAATTTACTAGAACACCCTTGCAGTTCTGTAAGTTTGATTTGTTGTGTCTATGAAATAAAACTGTTGAGGTTTAAAACGTTGGAAAAAAGCATCAAATAGACAAATTATTGATTTTTTTTTCTCTTCATGCATGACTTTAATATGCTACATTTAATTAATTTAAATATTTAAAAGCAACACATGGCTACAAACAATTATGTATAGTATATTTACTAAAAGTTGTTCAAGTTATCTAATCTAAATGCAAGTGAACCATTGCACATATGATTGTTTTGAGTTTCTTTACCAGTCAATGTTTACAAAAATTTCAAGTTTTGCATGCAATATCTGCATGTAGATATATAATGGATGAAATTTTCTTTTTGAAAACATTATGTAGCACAGCTAATACATTGTCATATTGAAATTAAAATGTCAAAACAGAAATAATTAACATCATATGATACAGCCAAATTATTACATGATGTGCAAAATACCTAGGTTGCTCACCAGGTGCTGTGAAGTATACACTGAACGAATCCAAGGTAACCCTGTCCTATACCACAAGACATGGGAAAGGACAGAAAAATAAGCTCACTGAGAGAAGTGTTAAATATCTAGTAATCAGCTTCCTGAAAAATTGAAGAAAAACTGTGAAAATGTTACCAATGGCATCAACAAGTCACGCACAGATAATGTTCAAGTATAGTCTTATAAATGCTGTAGCCATTGGAGAAGAGTAAAGCAAGAAAGAACCTTATTGCACAAAGAGACTATCTTATGTGAAAGAACATGTATCCTGGTCTTTGAAACAGTCACACAAGGTGGTTTGGACAGATAAGTATAGATTTTAATTCTTTAGTTTGGACTGGCATGTATATGTTCGCCAAAGTGCCAATGAGAGATTATAGAAGGAGTGTCTTCTGCCAACTGTCAAACATGCAGGAGTCTCTGGAATAGTTTTGGCAATCTCCACAAAGTTGGTGGGATCATGATTCAGCAAAAATTCAACACAATATTGGTCCATCATGCTGTACCTTCAGGAAATAAGTTGATTGGGCAGAACTTCATATTCCAAGAAGACAATGACCCAAACATACATCAAAGAAATGCGAAACCTATTTTTGTAAAAGAAAGAAAGGTGATCAGAATGACCACCACAAGTCCAGACCTTAACCCCATAAAACAAATATGGTATTTGATTGACTCCATGCTTGGTAAAAGTATCAACTGTTTTAAAAAAAACCTCTGGACACAGCTTCAAGAAAAATGAAATCAAATTACATCAGAGAGTTTGAAAAAATGCAGAGACGCAAAGATAACAAGCTATTATTGACGCCAAGGATAGCCATATTAAAGATTAGGATTAAAGAAACATAGAGACATTACTTGTGTACTAATTTTATAATGGTTTCCTGGAAGATTAATTTGCAATAATTACAAGTTAATTTCCATAGCAAATCAATTATTATTTTGTACGTAAAGCTCATAAGACAACACTATAGAAACAAATATGTAGCCCAGTCTATAATTAGATTCACCACTTATCACTGAGTTTACCAGTTTCGGGGAATTCTACCCTATAATCAGTAACCCTGGAAATGTGTAGGCTGAAAAAAAGAAAAAAAATTAGTCGCCATTATAAATCGAAGTTTTTATTTTGCAGTTCGTCTCTGAACAATACACATAATTCTTGTGTAGTAGACACAATTGATTATAATTCATGCCATACCAGTATTACCCTTGACTAACGGAGCATAATAATAGCAATTTAAACTTGCAAAGGGCTTATAATGTAGCACCTTAATGTTGATATTACTCAAGGTTAAGTCTAACAAAAAATAATAGTAATAACAATTTAATTTTATACCACCACTATTTTGAAAAAGGTTTATAAAATGTTATAGGTCACGTAAAACAGATTATTCCTCTTGAGATATTCTTTACCGAGTAGTGATAATTATTCAATAATCCAACAAAACTAAGACATTCACTAACTTGAAACTCAAAAGGAAGTGAGAGTGTAACAAAACAAAATACAAACAGTAGATTTGTTTTAGTTACATTTTTTG